GTCGCGGCCAGGGCGGCGCCGCGCTCCCCGCCGCCGCGGGAGGGCAGCGCCCCGCGGGCGGCCGCGTCGCCCCGTTGCCGCCGCCTATGAGGGAGCCATGGAGGGCGGCGGGGGGGCGCCGCCCGCGCTGGAGAAGAACGCGGCGGAGCTGACCGTGATGGACGTCTACGACATCGCCTCGGCCGTGGGGCAGGAGTTCGAGCGCGTCATCGACCAGCACGGCTGCGAGGCCATCGCCCGGCTCATGCCCAAGGTGGTGCGGGTGCTGGAGATCCTCGAGGTGCTCGTGAGCCGCAACCACATCAACCCCGAGATGGAGGAGCTGCGCCTGGAGCTCGACCGCCTCCGCCTCGAGAGGATGGACCGCATCGAGAAGGAGCGCAAGCACCAGAAGGTGCGCGGGGGCCGCCCCGGCCTGCCCGGGCTTGGCACTGCCTCCTTGGCGTCTTCCCTCCTGGAAGTTTCCTTTCTCTTCCCTTTTCTCCACCCCTTCCCTGGCCTCCGTGTTTCCTTCTCCCCATCACGTACGCGCTCCGGCCTCCCAAGCCCTGAGGAGAGGGGGCAACTTGGCTTCCCGCTAGGCCAGAAAGCTCCGCTGTTGGTAACGCGCTTTCCGTCCGGAGCCGTGCATGATTTAGCAGTCGGTCTGTGCTTCCCATCGCGTAGGCGAGTCCTGGGAGGACAGAGTGAGTTCAGGTCAGTGTTGGAACTGACAGTAGGGAAGAGCAGGCTCCTGCATTCCTGCTCCATCCTCTGGCGGTAAGAGCTCGTCCCTGGGGCGATCTACCCTAAATCTCCAAGCTGGAGATCGTTTCCTGTGTCCCGCTCAGCATGACAGGATAGCAAAGAGTCTTTCCGCTTACTGCAGTGCATGTGGCAGACCCGGCTCTTCAGACTGCACAGGCAGCTGATCCAAAGTTTAAGGAAATGGTGCTCCTGGCGTGCGACTGTGCTAAGTCATCCCTGCTGCCTCCTTCCTTCTGTGCTTGCACACACACAGATGGAGTGGGGACAGGGAACTGCTGGAAGAGAGGCCTCAAACTTCGAGAGTTAGTCTGGGTTTATTTAAGAAGGTCTCGTATATGTGTTTTTTAGTCAGCTAAGGGTCTTCTGTGTAGCATATGAAAAATTTGGAGCAATTCTTGCAACATTTTGCAGAAGTACACTTAGTCTGTAGAAAGAATGGTGCTTTTTTTTTTTTTTTTAATGACTACAGTCCTGCTAAGTCTCCAGAGGATGAAATCTTTTACTGGTCCAAAGAAGAGTACAAGTACAATGTGTACCAAATCCATGCCTTTATCCACCTAGTAAACCTCATATCTAACCATTTTAGTCATTAGACAGCAGGTAGTCTGTTGTACTGGTCCTGTACTGTGGCCCTCTGCTAGCATCAGATTTGTTCTTGCCAGGCTCAAAGTGCTGCATAGTGAACCAGATACATTGCTGCCATGCCCAGCAACTGTCTAGTAGGTTGGCACAAGCTAATATTCTGTGTTTGTGCTCCTGAAGTCCATGCATGCATTAAAAGGCTTCCTAAACATGTCAACTGCATAACATACTTGTTAGGTATCAGCTTATTCCTTGCCGGTTACTCATCCATACTTCACCAATAACCACTTATACTCTGCCAACTTTCCTAATAGTCACAAAATGAGTCAGGAACTGTTCAGACAATCCACAAGAATGCTGGAAAAACATTTTAGGAAGGAAAATAATGTGTATGCATAAATATAACACTCTTTAAGTCTTCCCCTGTAATTCCCAGCCCACTAAGGTGGAACTCCTCTATACATACACCTGGCTTAGCTCTGCCTGGCATTTCCTCAGCTGTTGGCACCTACCACCCCCAGGTCTCCTGCCTTCTCCGCCTGATACTGCCACTAGTGGAGGTTCAGAACTTCATTTGTGGTCCAGTTCCTTGGTTCTTCAGTAGCAGTAAATAGGAAAGTTTTCCTAGGAAAGCTTGAGTGCAACTGTGCATTTACAGTGTAGCCATATGTAAAAAATACAAGGCTTCATAGTTCAAGTTTGTGTATGTATATCCTATTTTTCTAATCAATATGTTTATAGCTGCACCAAATGTGTTGGTTTTATTTTCTGAACTAGGTCAGCATGTTATTCTAGCTACAGAGGTATAGGCTGCAACATCACTGTAAATAGTCTAGAAATAAAGTTTTATGACATGCATTTCTCTAAAGTGTTTCAAGTGAAGTTAATGGTGATTCATGAAACTTTCTGTACTTCTTAATAGTTAAGCTTGCATAGTTATAAATAACATATAAACTATTGCAAATATATTTCTTCTATAGTGTTGTCTACAAATCTCTTAGCATACTCAGAAGCATTATAAAAAGACAGCAATGCAAAAATAATTGCTGGAATAAAATAGTATTTCATTTAGACCTAAACACCAATAAAAGTATGACTTCCCATTAATAGAGCATACATTCAGAGCAGAAAACTATCCTGTTATCTCTCAGGGGAGCCTATTTTAGCCTAGAGCTGTGCTTGGCTGCTGTGTGAGTGTGTTTTGTTGTTAGGAAGGGGGCATGCTGGATGAACAGTAGAAGTGGACAAATGACTCAGCCTGGTTTCAGTGATCTGCATGCAGCTTTTTGTTTTGTTTTAAGTGCAAATGGTGTGCAGAATGCCCCCCCACACACACACTGCAGAAATATGATTGATAGCAAAGACTTTGGGAACAAGTAAAGTGCTAAATATGACTGTCTTTTTTTGAGGAGAGGTCTTTATATTCTCTGTCCTAATTTGACCTTTACAAGGATTGGTGACAGCTGCTCTTGACACACAGTGTCCTGACGAATAGGCCTCGTTGTTTTGAGCAGTTTCACTGTCGCTAACAGAGATGTCACTTGGAACATTCCATATAGAACAATTTACGTAAAAAGCAGCATAATTTTGTCTTGCATTTACTATTTGGACTAGGAGTTCTGGGTTTGTTGCACAGTATCATGCGCTCATCGTTATTTTACACTTGTGTTTCATAACACAAATCTAGACTGGGCAAGCTACTCTGTCAAAATGAGCATGTCTAATCCTGACCCTCCTAGCCCATGCTGTGGTATTTCTGGGGCATTTATAACAGCAGCTGCCCAGGATGCAGGAGATAACTCCTGGTTATGTTTGGTTGTCTTGTCTAAAACAGTAGACCCCTTAATCTGGTCCCCACGTTAATGAAGGGAATGAGAAGTCATTCTCTGGATAACTTGCATAGTTGCATTCAGCAAATAACATAAGGAGACTTTTATATTCAATGAGATTCTTGGTGCTGGCATTAGAAAAATTGAGGCTACTTGGAATTTATAAGAAGATATCATTTAATTATTTTCTGTAAGAATCCTAGGATTGTTACTATTTTGATATGTAAATAGTCTGGTCAAAGGCTCTTAACATGTTTAAAAATATAAATGTGTTGTCCTGGTCTACCCTTTAGGAATTAGAACTGGTGGAGGATGTCTGGAGAGGGGAAGCACAGGATCTTCTTACTCAAATTGCACAGCTGCAGGAGGAGAATAAACAACTGATGACAAACTTGTCTCACAAAGACATTAATTTCACTGAAGAGGAGTTTCAGAAACATGAAGGCAAGTTTGATGTTTCAAATTCAATACTTGCTTTTGTCACAAAAAGCAATACTCTATCAAAATATTTTGACTGGATATTCCAGCTTTTTTGCTTGAAATTAATGCAGGATGTTTTCTGGTTATCTGAATAGAAAAGCTCTGAACAACTGAGATATTGCAAAAGGTGGGGGCAGGAAGGAATTAAAAGCCTGAGCAGTTCTTTGTTTGACAAAGAAGCACCTTTAAAAGTAAAGTCTAGCTTCCTTTTTGGTCTATTATTTTATTTTTGTGGTTAGCATCTTGCAAAAAAGCATTCTTGCACTCTCCCTTTGTTTTCTAATGGAAACAGAATCATCCATTCAGCATTATTTCACAGTGATGTGCACAAAAACAAGTGCAAGTGTTGCTGTATTCAGGATAATTGTTTGTAAAGCAGCACCTTGGGATTCCATTGACTCCCTTATACTAATTAATCTGCCATATGGTGATATTGTGGGAGAACATCTTGAGAGTGATTCTAGCTGGTTTACCTGCCTTTGGGTTCCTACACACATACTGAGACATTTCCAGACAGTTTAGAATAGGCGAAGAGACTCATACTCCAGGCAGCGAGTGATTCCTAAAGAACTGAAACAACTGATTAATTCGTGGGCAGCTTCTTGCTTGAGACAGAATGAAATTCAGGACAAATGTTTCTGATGTGCAACTCCAGGTAGATTTCCCTGGCAGCAACTGGAACAGTTACTATCCTCACCTCTTTCCCACACCTCAGCAAGCAACTTTTTCAGAGGCAGATGAGCGGATGTAGATTCATTTCACAGTTTGTAGTGTGTTATTTGAATCTGCTGGCTACTGTTTTTATTTCATGACACTCTGCTGGGTTGTAACCTGGGGAGTTAAAGGAATCATTGTGCAAGTTTGGGGATGAAGCAGCCTTGAGCTGAGAGATGGAGCAGACAGATGAGAATGGTAACAGCTTCACTGCAGCAGCAAACCCTGCCTGTGATTGTGAGTCATTCTGGAAATGGGTGACTTTGTGAACTGTTAGGACATGGGCAGGACCGTGGTGTCCTGGTCTAAACCACACTGCCCTGTTGCAGTATGTTCTGATTATTAGTAAAGTTGTGGCTCCTTCAGAGTTCCCAAACACCAGAGGTTGGGATTAGGCTGAGGTTTGAGGTAAGTGAATGAAACTCAATCCAATGCTGCAAAAGCTGCACCTGCTTCCCCAGTGCTGAATTTGGCCCAGAGGTGGAGTACTGCACACTTGCCCTGGGGAGATGCATATTCCAGACACCAGATTCTGGGACCAATAATACTTATTAGCCAAAATCATTGGTTTAACTTGTATCACATTAATTTGTAGCACCCTAAGCTTGGAGCCTGTCATGTTAAACTTGCAACTGTTTTCCATTTGGGATAACTTTTCTATTAATGAATGGAGGTGGGTTTTCTCAGATATATGATTTGTGACATTTCCTATCCACAAAAACTAAACTGCCTTTTTTTCTACTCCATCATTTAATATGATGCGTGTAGAATTTACATGCATTTACAGATGCAGCTTTTCAAGCCAAATGCCTTTTTAGCTGGGCTCAGTTTGGCCAGACTCTAGTTTTGATATCTCAGCATGATTTAGTATTGTGATCATGTCTCCCCTTAGCGGCTAACCCCGGGGATTAACAGTTTGCTGCTTACTTGCCAGACACTGGGGGGAGTTATTTTTAGCACAGCCAGCAGAGGCCAGTGATTTGGGTGTGCAAGGGCTCAGATTCGATCTTTGCCAATTAACAGTCACTTCAGAGTTCAGAGAGCCTCACTTTGCTATAATGAAAGCATTTGTGAGAGAGGTAGCTGCAACAGTATCTAAACAGGAGAGAGAGCATCATTCTCTGAGAGTCTGAGCAGAGCAAAGCTCATGTGAAAGATGCGTGCGGCAGAATACAAAATACACAGGAGGCTTTAGAGATGAATCTGCAATGTTCATTAATGCTACTCCTCCCTGAGCTCAAACTGAGCGTTTATTTGATAGTGCTGACTGACCAGAATATCCTGGTAAAATGCCATGAGCAAACTTGAGCCAACATGAGGCAAACAGGACAAGCAGGCGGCTGCGAGAGGAGCTGCTGCCTTGGGCACAGCAGCTGTGGTATGAGGGACAAGAAATAGGATGGCAGCAGACAGTTGTGTTGAACCTCTTGTGCTTGGTTGCTGAAGAACCTACAGTCAGTTCCCCTGCAAAAGTTCAGGCAAGGTTTTCCTCTGAGTATTTACATAGTGGCACTGTCACAGAGCCTGGCTTGCTGTGTTACATTAGGTATAAATGCAGTGGTAAACAGATTGCTAAGCATAAACATGAAGGATGCTCATTTTTAATGTTTCTTATTCCTTTTTTTTTTTTTTTTCTAACTGCTTTCCTCTCCTAGCAATTCCCAGGAAACTGCTGATAGGATGTGCCTGGGGAAGCCAGCTGGGTGTGCCATTTAAGATCTTGCAGATAATTAGACTTTGAGTCATTCGAAGATAATTATTTTACATTTAGGGCACTTAGTGACCTCCCTCCCCTCTTCCTCGATGCCTGGGAAAAATGGGAGATGATGTGACTGTTTCACAAACACTTCCCACCTTTCCTTTCCCTTCCTCTTAAAATAAGAAGGATAATGTAATTATCTGAGCACACAATTGAAGTGCTCACCAAATGTTAGGCAGAAAAATGAGCACAGTGGGAGGAAAAGCAATCAGCACTGAAATGGTACTTTATTCTTTAAATAGTACCTGCTATCTAGAGATCTCAAAGCATCTCACATGTACTAATGAATAGAGCTGTGCTTACCATTCTCAGCTCTTACTGGGCTGAAACTGCTGCTCTAAAATCACACTGCAGTCCCTCTTCACCTCAAAGCATTTTTATAAAATATAGCTGGTGTTTTAGGCCCCAGCATTGTGACCGACTGCTGAAAGGTGGATCCAGGAGCCTGCAGAGGGGACTGTGGATACAGTGATGGTTTGTAAGAAACTGCAAATAAACATGAACCCTAGTAATAGGAAAGCTATGGGGAGATACCAGGGCTCTATTGTGTTATTGAGAGGGTCCCTGTCTGTTTGTTTTGTTTTGGCTCCATCCAGCTGGTATTTCCTGTGTCCCTGTAGGTGGGTAAAAATGTCCAAGATCAGGGAGAGGTCAGAGCTGAGTGTAAGATTCCAGCACTCCACACCCATGCTGTGGTAGGAAAGTAAGATCCTCTTAAAAAAACAAGAAGTGTGTGCCAGGCTGCAGCTGTCCTGCCTAAGGGGTATGAGCCATTCCCATCCCAGAATAAGATCAGTCTAAATCAGTGCATCTCAACTGGTCTAGACCTAAAAGCAGTCACCATAGTGAAACATTTAGATCTTGCTGATGTCAGACATGCCTGTATTTCCTGCAGTTTTCACAGTTACCTGATTCTGCAGGTTATCACATAGAGAACCAAACTCCGTGGCACATAATGAGAAAATCACGGCAGAGGTAAAAACACTGAGGTAGCAAGACATTAGCAATATCACTCCACTGTTACAAATGCCTCTGAGGCCTGTTGGATTTTTCAAGGACTTTCTGTGGGTTGGCTTTACAGGGTGGATTGTATCATCTACGTTCCGTTACCCCTGAAGTTACTTTCTTTTTATCCAAAACATCATCCAATGGTCTCTTTGATTTCCACAGCAGGCATCTTCCAGAGGTTTTACCCAAATATTTTTCATTTGTTATTGTTTTCAATAACTCCTGCTTGTCCTCAGTTTGTTTTATTTTTGTCCTTTTTTTTTTTTTTTTTAACCAGGAATGTCAGAAAGAGAGCGGCAAGTCATGAAGAAGCTGAAGGAAGTGGTAGATAAACAGAGGGATGAAATCAGGGCAAAAGACCGGGAACTGGGACTTAAAAATGAGGATGTAGAGGCAGTAAGTGCTTTCCTGTTTCCTTCTTCTTTCTTACCCATGCTTCCATCATTCTTTCAAGTTTTAAGTTAATTTAGAAGTGGTTAGCTATGCCAGATTAGCAGCCCAGCATCTAAAGTGTTCTGCAAAGCTAAAGAGTGTGCAAAATAGTCAGCAAGCTGCTAGTACAGGCACATACTCTCTGCTGTGTGTGGAAAGACTGGGGGCACTTGGAGGGTGATAGGAGACCAGAGTAACAAGGGAAGAAGATGGATGAGAAATGGGTGGGTTGGTTGTTTCTTTAAAGGTCTGCTACTCTCAGATTAGTCTGTGCTGTCTGTATCTATCTTGTCCTTATCACTTCCACTCTGGGTTAAGTTTTCGTTCTAAATTCCTTAAGCTCACCTGCCCTTAAACACTGATTTTTGAAGCACTGTAGTGGAAGTGGTCGGTTTGCTTTTAGCTGGAGAATTCCCAAGGCTGGTGAAAAAGTGCCTCCTCTTACTGTGAAAACATACAAACATATAAAGAGGTTTTGGTGTCTTTAACAGATAATTAGATATTACAAAAAATAATTAGGAAGATGAGGATTTTTCCTGATTAAACATAACAGGAACGTATTACTCATTCTTTAACATAATGTTTGGGATTTAGCTCCCATGGCTGGTGGCTGAATGGATGTTTACCTGTTGTATCAATATTCTGTAGCTTCAACAACAACAGAACAGGCTCATGAAAATTAACCACGACCTGCGGCACCGGATCACCGTTGTCGAGGCGCAGGGGAAGGCCCTGATTGAGCAGAAGGTGGAGTTGGAAGCCTACTTGCAAACCAAGGAGCAGGAGATGGGCACCCTACGAGCAGAGCTAGGGAAACTCAGAGAAAAACTGCAGGGTGAGGACAGCCAAAATGGGGAAGAAATAAAGGTAAGAGGCACTTTCATTCGCTTTTAAACAGCCTTTTTAAGATCCTCGGAGGTCATACCAAGCATCTCTTCTTCAAATAAAGTGGTTGATATGTGTGAGAGCCAACAGTGGTACGCAAGGACATCCTTATGTAGCGCACAGGGAAACATAAGCATCTCTCTGTGCTTTGTGACAGGAAAGCACCATTGGGGACAGCGACCCAGGGAACAGAGCCCTCCATCCTGGAGGGGAGAAGCAGCCATGCAGAGAGGTGCAGGACAGGTCAGCAGTGTCATGGCCGGGGCAGAGAGCAGCAGAACATCCTCTGCTCTCCCCTGCTCTCCCCTCACACTTGGCTGTTCAGTACATGGCCTGGGGAGCCTAACCTTTGAATCAAGTGCTAGACTACAGAATTCACCAGACAGCAGAACAAATAGCTTCTGCAGAGGAGAGTGTGCTTTTAGAAACTTTGTTAAGCCACTTTGTTTGGGGCAGGAACTTACCTTCGGCCAAAATAAGCCATGTAAGAGTCTTTAAACCTCTGGAGAAGGCTTAATTCCTTCTGAAAAGATAACAGTTAGAGAAGTTTTGCTGAGCTAACAGGTCTTTGTGTGCTTGTCTGCCCTTACGTCATTGTTTTCTCTGATCACGTTTCCATCCGTTGCCTCACTGCAGTTGTTCAGAACTGAACAATTGGAATTTCTTAATCCATGTGACAGGAGTCACATGACAGTCAGTGACTGGGGGGCTGGTATCTTAGGCTACAAAAATGAGAGAGCTCTTGGCCCTCATGGTGATTATGGCGCTTGTGATCTGACTGCCTAAGCTGGTCTATTGCTACCAAATCAAAATATAAATATTTTTACGCCTGTTTTAGAGGAGACAGACTAGGCCCTATTCCTGCTTCTAACTTCCTGAAAGAATTTATGCAGTTAAGTGTTCCTAGTACAGATGTTCATGGAAAGCAAAGGTTGATGCTCGTGTACCTGAAAGAACAGGAAAAGTGATGATTGGCCAAGTGACAATTTGCAAAATGACTTGTTGCTAAGATAAGAGCAGTAAGAATGGAAATTCAAGGGGAGTTTCACAAGGGAAAAAAGAAAGAGCTTCAGCTCTCTCTTTATGGTTCCTGTTGTTACTTTCCTTTGTGCATACAACACTGCATTTCTGTCTTATTCAAGCAAATATGCAGTATTTCCTCTCCTGATGCTGCTCTTAGAACAGCACAAATAGGATAAGGAGCATCATGGCACGAAGGAGCTCCAGGGAGCACTATTGTGGTGTATTATTTGGATGTGTTTGCAGCAGCACCAGTACCGAGCCAGTATAGAAGCAAGCAGTGTAAATGCCTGATAACAGCAGAGAATATAACACCCAATTTGTTTGTAAGAGGCAGGAATATATACCAGAAAGCAGAGGCAAAGGCAGATGAGGTGTCCTTGTGCCCCAGGGCGTGTGACAGTCAGCGCAAACGTGTCCCTGCAGAGTCGGGTACGCGCTGTATTAATAATGAAAGGGATGACTTCATTGCTGCTAATTCAACCAGGACCCCTGCTTTGTAAATGGGGCTCTGGAGCCTGGGCCTGGAGCCAGCAAAAGTGAAAGTGTCTTCAGTGTCTGGAGAGAAAGGACCCTTTCTTCCCCCCACCCATCCCCAGTCTCACCAGTTCTGTGGCAATGGCACCTCTTCTAATTAGAGTTTTTGCCCATTCTCTCTGCCAGGCTGATGGTTAGGCAGGAATTGCAGTGACAAGCAGAAAACTAAATAGCTGCATGCTCTGGAGTAAACACTGCTCATTGGCTTCAGCTGAGGACGTTTGCATTGGCTTCTTGGGCTTCTTGGTCTTTGCTGATTTGGGCAAAATCTGGCAAAAAGGTGACTTCTTTGGGTAAAAGTGTGGGGTGGAGGTAGAACCAAAACATGAGGCATCAATGCGGATCCTAACCCAGTGGGATGGAGAGGAGGAAAGATGTACAAATCCTTTGAATGTTTTGTCAGGGTGCATCTGCCTTTATTTGTTGTAAACTGTATAAAAATGCTAAACTGTATTAAAAAATGCATTTGGATTAATGGGGTGAATCAGACAGAAATGGACAAGTGAGCAATACTCTGCAGTTTGGTCTTTGTAAGAAGAGGACTGCAATTCCTGCTGCAGTAGTTTATGTTGGACCAACCTCAGCCCAGCAAAGTTTAACTCGAAGCCACAATAGATCAGTGGAGATCAAAACTATTTCATAAGTATGAGCTTGGAAGAGACGAGAATCAAGCTTGCAAAAAAATGGACTCTACAAATCTCTGCCCTTAGCTTCTCACATGTAGATGATGGAGTTCCATTGCTGATCTCTTTCTGAAGCAGCTAAGCAGGATATCTCATCCTGCTCCTCAGGGATGCAAAGCTAGAAACTGTTACTTTAAAGTGCTGCACTTCTATAAGGTCTCAAAAGGTGTCCTAGGATATCTACATCCACCTGTGCATTGCGCACTTGGAGAACCAGAAGAGTGTTATGTATTTGGGTGGTGGCCAGTTAGCTAGAAAGGCAAAGTTAAGAGTCTTTAAGGCAGTGGGATTATCTCCATCTTGATGTGTCACTGCCCCACAGGAACTCTAGGACTGTCCACTCTGTCTCCTGCAGGAGGGTAGGGACTGGCCTGGCTGACAGCATCTCTGATTTCATGTGCTGGCCTCCAGTCAGCCTCTGTAAAAAGCATCACATTTCAAATGTACTTTGCTGGAACAGGGTGCCCGGTGCTTATTTTTACAGCTAGAAACCTTGCGGACCTCCTCAGGCTTGTCACTGGTTTGCAGCACCTTGATTGTGAACAGCCTTTCCAGGAGCTTGTGACTTCCCACTAACTGGTCCTCAGCTCTGTGCAGTGGGACAAGGCTGGAGTACCTGAATGATACCTCTTTCCTGAACACTGTGCTGATACCAGCCTTATTTCCACGAGCAGTTTAGCCCAAATAGTTCTTCACAATTGCTGGGGTCTACCTGGATTACAGGAAGCTGCCCCGGAGGCTGGGAATGCAACCATGTCCCTAGAGTGCGAGCTGTATAAGGCATCATCGAGCACTCATCTGCAGATGTCTTCTAGTTTGTACTTAGATCCCTGGTACTGACACTAGTCAGGCATTTTTCAATACAAGCAATATAGAGATATAAACTTAAATCATCACTTAATATAGTTATGTGCAAAGGAGCTTCCTCTCTGTGGGAGAAATTATCAGGATATTTGCTATCCAAATGGTTCTCTCTCTCTCTTTTTTTTTTTTTTTTTGGTTATGTAAAAGGCTGGTACATTACATAATTTACCTCATTTGCTAAAAGTATGCATTCCGTAAACTCACTTACCAAAAGTTAGACTGAGGATCTTAAAACATGAGAAGCAAATTCCTCCTACCTTTTTTTACTTCTAAAATTGCTTTGTTTCTTTTAAGAGAGGGTTTATTAGTATCAAAGAGGTCAAGAACTAAACTGATAAAGACTTTAAATGCCTCAGACTTGCATTCATGTGATGAATTTAAAGCTGGTGTTTCACTTCCTAGACAGAACCAAACAACGACGACTTTTCTGACTTCGCAGAGTCAGAAAAGATGGCAGTGGACTTAAAAGATCCAAATCGTCCAAGATTCACCTTGCAGGAGCTGCGAGATGTCCTTCATGAGAGGAATGAATTGAAATCTAAAGTGTTTTTACTTCAAGAGGAGCTTTTATATTACAAAAGGTAGGTTAGATCTCCTAGGTGCTCCTCTCCTGTTGCATACTATACACGTAGCAGCTGTAGGGCAGGTCTAGAGACTATAAATGTGTTCCTAAATAGTTTCTGGCAAGGTTATATTGCTGCAAAGGCTTGAAGTTTGTAAACCTAAAGGCTTCAGTTTCTATCTAGATCCTCAAAAACTCAGGAAGATGATGCCTTTGCCTGATGTCCCGCTGAATCTTAGAAAGATTAATACACTTGGACTTGAAAAATAAGGACTAAAGTGGGTCAACATTTGAAACTATAGTAATTTGTATTCATTGCATTCATCTTCTTCATCCATTCCTCTCCTTGTCCCAATGGGAGGGAAATACTGAACGGAAACCAAAGTTCATGGAAAAATCTCCCACAGGTTTCAGTGACCTCGGAGCAGGTATTTTGCCTTTCTTCTGTAGTACTGCCTCAGGTTGGAGTTTAGAATTGAAAGTGCTTCCATAGCCTGAAAGGACAACATTAACTATCCTTTCTTTCTCTCCAGTGAGGAAACAGAAGAAGAAACTAGATCGCCTCAACCTACACCCATAATTCAGCCAAAAACCTCAACTCAGCAAGAGTCTGGAATCAAACGACTGTAAGTAGTGTATTCTGAAAGGACACTAGATGAATTCTGCAAATGCTAAACATTTCTTAGGGATGGGACATTTTTTTAACTTAAAAGTTAAGATGTTTACATCCCTTATGTGTATGGGAGAGATATTAAAATGTCTGTAATTCTTTTTTTTTTTTTTTTAAAGGACCACTTGCTAGGTTTTATGAAACAGCAGTTGGGTTTGGCCAGAACTTTGACCATTTTTCAGTCTAGGTTTATCTGCTACGATACCTCCATTCTCCGTATGCAGGCAGCAGTAGGGGGAAGAACAATAGACCACATGCTTTGTTTGGACCACATTGATGTGCCCAAGAAGCCCACTTTAATTCTAATTCTTCATTCCTAAATATGATATTCAAGATGACTAAAAGAATGTGTTTTGCCATGGTCCAGTACTGCTGTTAGGAGCAGGTGAGCTCTTAAACAGACATCTGATCTGCCCAGAGGATGCTGTGGTTCAGGCCGTGTGGCCACGCTCCAAAGGGAGGAACTAGCAATTGTGGTTTTATCCAGAGCACTGCCCTGTCTGTCCTAGATACCCAAAACTGAGGTCACTGCAAGGACTGTGGAGAGACATGCTCCTGCTTCTGCAGAGCTCCAGTTCCTTAATGGCATCAGGTGGTGGATTGGAGCAGCAGCAGAATATCACAGTCCCCAGCCAGCCTATGGTCATGCTTGGAGGGTCTGCAAAGAGTGACCGTCACAAGTAAAGCATCCTGCAGATCTGTACAAGCTGGGTCTGGAGAACAAGGTGTCCCTTTTACCCCTCTGTGGCTGTATCCGGCTTTCAATTCATTGGCCTTGCAGTGTGTAGGTGCAGCACAAGGACTTCTGGTTTGCTGAACAACTGCCGTGCCAGAGAGGATGCCAACTTTCCTGGCTATAGAAATCCCCACTCTCCTCTGGTGAGATTGTTCAGTGGTGCTGTGCAAACCCTAAGCTTATTATCAGAGGTGTATGTACTACTACAGGAGCTGGTTATAAAAACACAGCATTGGCCAATCCATTTGTCTGTTGAAACTCCCCTCTTTTGAATTTATTTATCCCAGATTAAATAGCTTTGGATTTTTATGATACTAAAGCTTATCTTCTTAACTGAGCGAATGATTTTGGCACACTTATTTGGTTTTGCCTAAAAAGCCTTCCCATCCTGTCTCCATGACCATAACCTTCAGACTTTGTTTTTATTAGCAACAGCCCCATGAGAGAAAGTTCTCTTGGAACATTAGGGCTGACCCAAAACACCATAAAGTCAAGAGGACACTTATAATTAAATTCAATAGACTTCATCTTTTGCCCGTGCTGTCTTTTTTTCTGAAAGAGCACTTCCTCCCAAGTGACTAGAAAATATTCCTTGAGTTTGGCTTTAAGTTTTCATTCTGTAGTATTAATAATACTGGTCTCACAAGGTCTCCACTGTGAAGCTTCGCTTCTCTTTTCTTCTAAATTTACTTTAGTGCTTCTTAAAGCTTATCCCTCCATTGGAAATGGCCAGTTTCAGCCTACATAGTGTGGTGATTGCAGCTTTCATGCTCAATTTTTGAAGCAAGTTTGTGGCCGGGGCAAATTCTCCAAATTCTGATCACATACTGGTTTATTTCTACGCTTGTCTCTACACATCACATTACAGAGTTTTGATGAAATTATGTAACCAGGAGGCTTTACTCAGGAGGAAAAGCACCAGGACTGAAAATGCTGCCTCTGTTTTCAAGCAGAAAACGCCCTATTGTTTCCTCTTTAAGGATACATACTGTTTTGTCACTGATGTAATGCCTAAAACAGCCATAAGTTTTCCTCCTATTCTTGCAATCCACAAAAGCTGATGTGTCTGTCTGATTTCTGCAGCTAACCGAGTGTGCCACAAGGCATAAAAATAGAGGGTTTTGCTACTGCTAATGATACAACAATATTTGCTTGTTTAGTTTTCTTTGAATCTAAGAATAGCAGTTAGAGCAGCTATGCTGGGGAGAGCTGCACTTGGTCACGAGGGAAATGTCTGTTGTGATTTCAACTTAATCTTTGATTGACATTAGTCCACAGTTCAAAAAAATATTTGGCACAAGGGAGAGCCTCTGAGGAGAACCCTTAGAAAAACAGAGGGTGTTGCAGGTATGGATGAAGGTGTGTTGGCAGGCTTGTGTGGGGCTGGCTGTGCAGGGAGCATCCAGCCAGCGTGCTCTCTCAACCTCTAAGTTGCATGAATTGTACAACGCGCAGCTGAAGTGCTGAACCCTTAGGAAGAAACAGCCTTGCTGCTAGCCAGCTAGAAAGAGTGTTTCTGCTAGAGCAGTTGCAAGATTTCAAGCAAGTATTTAGCTGCCTGCAACTGGTGTATTTCTGCATGTGAAGAAATGTAGGTTTGTTTGGAAGAGATCCCCAGGCCCTTTAACCAAGTAGCTTGCAGAGTGGGTTATTTCAACATTTCAATTGTAGTATTGGTTTTTAACTCGCAATTTTGCAAGCGTCACAGATGACAATCTTTATCTGTAATGCTGGTCACGTCTAACCCTATTTCCTGTGCAAAAATCCACTAGCTACAGCAGAGCCCTGTTTGGTACTTCTTAACATGCACCTTCATCCTTCATTTCATTATGTATGTGCCTATTTGTTTCTTGAGAAGAAGAATGTGCACCCTGCTCTGCATTGCTAGAGGTGGTAATACCTTGATGAAATTCAACCCAGATTGCAGGCTGCCTCACAATACAAAAGTGGTATCTTTTAGAAATTCTAAAACAATTCAAACTGTTCATTGACTATTTTTTTACTAAAGAAGATTATTTTCACTGAGGAGCTGTCTTGGGTGATGCAGAACCACCTCACTCTGTAACATGTCCTGTGTGATAATTCAAAGTAACCTTGTGTATCTTGTTTGCCTCTTTTCTTTTAATGGAATGCCGTTTCTTTTCCTTGCTCCAGTCTTATCTCTTCTGTGTCTGTACTTTCCTGACCAGGATCTTTACAGCCATAATGCCCATGGTAGCAGCTGGAATGATTCCAGACGATCCCACATTGCAGCCAATACGAAGACTTGTGTCCCTTGTAGGATTTTTTTTTTAATGTTTGGTACTGTGGTTTCCTTCTGCATGGCCCCGTGTTAACATGCGCTGCTGGTTGCATTCTCATCGGCCACTTGTGGGATCACAGAAGCACCAAGTGCCAATCAGAATGACCAGGCAGTTCACAACTCATTGTAGCCCTCCATGCTCATCCTCAAGTATTGACATTTTATCTTACTGCCTTTTGTCTTAATGTTACCATGCTAAACCAATCATTACTCCTTAGAAAAGAATTTCTATACGCAATTTTAACCAGCGTCTGTTAAATTTGCTTACTAAGCCTGCCTATGCACAATTCACACCAGTGCTTTTTTAAAATAAATTTTAAAATAAATGTACCTGACTCGTTACAGATCAGTTAGATTTATAGAATCTAATGGCTGATATCTGCATTAATTTCCAGTGTTTATTGTAGGCTGATGTTTCCATGTCTTAGAAGCTATGCACTGTAGATTTCATCTCTGTGTTTAGGAACAGAGTATACACTCTCAATAATAAATTCTATCATCCTATGCTTGGTTACCCCTGGAAATTGTAACTGTTGTTGCAGGCTGGTTTTGCATTATAACTCTGACTTTAATGATCACTGCATCTGCAGCAGCGAAACAGTGTTTAAATTTCCCTTCCATTTCACACAGGTGTATTTTTTTCAAACCTTGCCTATAAGCCTTTTCTAGGCCTAACAGCAAAGAATAAAAAAGCTAACTCCTTCTACTTGATGTAGAAAAATATCTTGATAAAATTTCTATTACTTTAAAAAAAAAAAAAAAAAGAGAGAGAAAAAAAGCTGATATTTGAAACTTACTGCATAAATACAGGAGTCCTCTGTGTGGACTTCAGCATGCAAAGCCTGACCAAACATCTCCAGGAGAAAACCTCAGTGACTAGATGCTTCCCTTTCACTTTGGAATTGGATCTGTCCCTGCAAAGATTGAGCATATGTGTGTGAATTTATAAACTCCCATGTTGAAGGTGGTAGAAAACTACCAGACTAATTAAGTGCAAAAGACTTATTTCACTATTAAGGCTGCACATTTCAAGCCAGGAAATGCAAAAGTTGAGGTCCTGCTAGCAACGTTAGCTGTCTCGCATTGCACTTGTGTAGCTTTTTATATCACTTTCTAGTCAAGAACAGCTTATTATTAATAATCATCATGCTTACCTGCACATATGATAGGATGTTTTTTCAGGAAAATTGCCTTAAACGTCATCTGACATTGAAATACAGCCTGTGTGACTAGAGACATCGAAGGCAGAACTCCCTGGTCTGCACAAGGCGGCTTGGACGGTTGGGATCATGGTACTGAGGGGAGACAAGGGAATGTGGGTGGAGGCAGGATGCTGAGTAAGGTGGGCAGTGGGCACAGGGCCCTGTTTATGCCAGGACAAATATTCCAGCTCCTGGTGAGTGTAGGTTCATAGGTGGATGGTCTCTTCTTGAGAAACATCTAGTAATTCCAGCCCTAACTGCATTATGCTAAGTACTGTGCAAGCAATTGGTGTTTATCTTCTAAAATGCATCACTAGAAGCAGCCAATTTGGGTAGCTGGAACCAAAACTTTTGCATTTCTCAGCACACTTTAAAACATTGTACTAACACCTCTTGTACTGAACTCATTATAAACATCAAAAAGATGAATTTGCTTTATCAGGTAACTTCACGATACACAAAAATGATTAAGTAAGGATTTCTTCCAACTGTGCATTTTAGCTGTGTTGTTAGCTGGCAATTTGTTGTTGTTTTAAGTGGCTGTTGGTTCATGTACGTCATTATCTTAGCTCACCCAAGCTGTGACAGGAAATGACGTGCACATTTGTGTGCATTTCTTTAGAGCCTTCATCCTGCAGACTTGTGAGCACTTGTGTGCATTTATTCTTTGATTTTTTGCAGGAATAGGGCCTATGTATCAAAATTTGCACACTTGGGGAAAAAAAATTGAAGACCTATTATCTTATGAATTTCCCTGCTGGCACCCTTAAGAATATTCTCTCTTTCTGCTGTAGGGCATTATACGGATTTAATGCTAAAGATACCACTTTACTTATGCCAAGAAACTAACCCATATTTTGTTGCTTCTTTATCTCAGGGTTGAGGGAGGGGGAATATGCAACATCTAAAATGATGTCTGCACCTGGTAGAGTTAACAACACTTAGAGCTTATTGGAAGCTTCCAGAGCCGAACTGCTTGAGATTGCAATGACTTCATCTCTAATAACATTTTGACATGCACTCCCATCGGGCTTCACTGCCTTGAATTTTTGCAGATGCAAACAGATTTTTTTGCTCTGTGTTTTGTGGTGCTGTGTATCGTGTCGGGTGTTTGAAGTGCTTTCAAGTCAGTAAGCAGTCTTTTTTTTTTCCTTTTTTCCTTCTCCTTCCTTACTCCTCCTCCCTCCCTGGAAGGTTTAGTTTCTTCTCTCGTGATAAGAGACGTATGCAGGCATCACAGAGAAACGTCCACTTCCAGGATACTTTTGGCGAATGGGCAAACTCAAATAAAGATGACTCCTACATGGAACAAGGACAAGAAGCCCTGCAGCATCTGTGACTAAAACCTTGAGGTTCCGCTTGCCACAGTAGATCTCAGTCTAGTAACAAGAAGCTTCTGTGAACAAATCCATCAGCTCCTCACTTCTGTTTGCCTTGCACACCTCAGTGGCTGCATCTCAGATGTACTCTTCAAAAGGGATCCCTCACTGCTTGCTTGGTGACTGTTGGCCAGAAACAGAATCCAAGCTGTATAAGTCACTGATACCTTGGGACATTGAGGCTTCTAGATGACTTGTTTTGTGCTGAATAACAAGTCTATGGTCTTGCTCATGCATTAACTACAGTAACACAAGCTTCTTTAAACCAAAAAAAAGAGACTTATGCCATTATTAGAAGATTGTTTGCAGTGTACGATATCTATTGGCAAAGACTCTTTTATCCTGTTTTGTTAGAATTTTTGGTTGTTTGCTTTTTCTTAATTCTGTAAGAGTTTTATTTTTTCTGAGGGATACCACAGCTCTGGGGCAGGTCTTAGCCCTGCTGTATTTTGCCAAGTTAGGTGGCATCCACACCAAGCTGACCACTTGGAAACCACCTGGTGCAAACTGAGAAGCTGAAAATGCCTTGAGAGGGATAGTAAGTGTCCGTGTCCCTTGTTGCGTATAGTGCCTAAGGCAGGAAGAAGTCGAAGTTCGAGGTGAGCGTGCCTTGCATTTGGCCTTGAGTTCTGCAGTAGTAATGGAAAATGAACTGCTCGAATTCTAACACTTGTTTTCTTTTTTCCTTCTTACCAAGGTCTTCCCCCTAGGGTAGCAGACAGCCACTCGATGGGAGTTAGATTGCCCTTCCCACAGCCACCTTTTGAGTAAAGTCACACTCCGTTTTTCTTTCTCAATGCAAACTACCTAACTTCAGCAATAGGAGACCTCCTCAGCTAGCTGGCATGAACTGTTTCAACTGACTTAGAGATGGCCCCAACCCAAACTTTTTTGCTGACTTGTCTAAACACTATTTGGGGTTGTAGAGTGGATGGATTCTACAAGCACCAGCTGCTTTACTGCTGTCAGCTGGGGTTTGGGTAGCCTGATGTGCCAGCAGTGCCAACGCATGAACACGGCTGAGCTGTCAGAAGGTGGGTATGGACCTGATTCACAGTTAAACATGTGAAGCCCTTGGGCTGGGTGCAGGTCATGCTTATGAAAAACCCATCACCGAAGCCCTGTGTAGCACAGAGGCACCATGCCCACCATGAAAGCAGGTTCGGGTGGGAGAGGGCACCTGCCCTTCCTTGCTGAGGAACGTGGCCCTACACGTGGGTCCTGCACTGGAGCACAGTGCGGCTGGGGAGCAGCATCTCTGGTTGCAACAGGGTCCTAGGTAACTTCTGCTCATGTAGCTCAGTGCTGCAGCCATGGGCCGCTGTTGGCGTCCGACCCCAGCAGCCAGGTGGGCTCTGAGAGGCGCCTGCTCTCAGAAGCGGCACTAAACAGGAGCCAGTGCTCAGGTAAAAGCTCCTCTACTGCAGGTGCTAAATGCCTGATGCTCATTGCAAGGGCTCCTAGAGGACAGCAAGCCAAAGGCTTTTGTACAAGGTGTTTATTTTCTGTTTTTAGTTTTGGTTGGTCAAGATTATGCTTTTTATGGCCCAGCACAGGTGGGCAGGGAATGGTCCCTGCAAACTGTGTAAGGAAGCAAACCATTATTGTAGCAGTGGGGCAAAGGCTGCCTTCCTGATTGTAACTGTGCTATATTTTGAACCTTGAACTTCAGCATGCTCTGGGTACCTTGAGTGTTTTTTCCCCTCTCTCCAGCAGGTTACAGGTTTTTAAATGCTAATTTCCTTACAGTCTGCAGTCCCTTCCCATCAGTTTGCAGCATGGTTGGGAATATACCTTGGCACATGTACCTTAGCACTATACCTTTCCCAAGAGACCCCTGCTGCAGAACTAACCTGCAACTCCACTACTAGAGAAAGAATTTGCAGGCCCTCCAGGTTGTCACTGCAGTTCAGGGAGGAGGGAAAGGAGGGAAGAAGGTAGCCTTATATGAAAGGCATCTGTATTTGAGATACTGACAAAAATGTCTGACACTAACATATGACACTAGTAAAGATGCTTTTGCATCTCTCAGCCTGGTTAAGTTTTGTTAACGTGTTGTTTTGTGCTTGCAGCAAGCTGTATTCACAAAACAGCAGCATTCTTCCTTTTATGTGAAAGGCAATTGTTATGGGGAGTCTTAATGATACATAAGTTGTTGAGATCCCACTTGCTTTTACAGATCATAAAAAAAGAAAAAGAAGGACGTCCACTCTATTTGTATCAGGCAGACAGAATGTAAGTTAAATATGTTCCATGGTTCTTGAATATGTACTGGTCTTTAACACTTTTGTTCCCTAACCATGAGAAAGGTTTAACAAGGATGTATCTTGAAGTGTTCCTGAATGGACATAATGTTGGAGTAGGGGCTAGAAAACATAAATGGGTCATTGCTGCTGTTTAAAAACCATATTCCTACACTGGAGTTGATGGAACGGTGCCTGTTGAATCTCTCCCCAGCATAGTTTACAGCCGTTGGGCACATTCACAGGAGACATGGCAACAGGAAACAATGCAGGAATGAGCACATTGACAGCCTGAACACAGCCTCATTTTCACATCAGCCAGGACCATGAACTGGGATAACAGAAATACACCGACCGAACATTTCTCCCTCTTTTCCCTAAGCTCATGTATAAAAAGGGAAGTCTCCAGACCGAGTTAGTACACGTAGAGCTAGTCTCACAGGCTAGAATCCAATGCTTATTGTTGTTAGGTCAAATCCGTTGTTAGGTCAAATCTGCAGCCAAGTTCACACAATGGCTCTAAGCAGTACAGCCTTCTCCCCCTTACCATGTACCCCATTACCTCAAAAAACTAATTAATTACTCCTGACCTGCTAACATAGCTACTTCCATCTTTTTGCTTTTTTTGTTATAAAGGATGCCACATAGGGAAGAATAAAGAATTGAAGATCTGCCATATCTAGTTTCTTAATATTCAAGTAAAACCTGTTTTTTAAAGGAAGATGGGATGTTGTCAGGTAAAGAGCATAACAATCCTGCATGCAGACTGCAGGTTAAGTTTTTTTTGTTGGTGTTATTTTTTTTCCCCGATTGGGCAGTAAATCATTTTAATGGTTTAATAAAGATTTCTGAAAGTATTTCTGAAAGACTTGTGTCCTTTGTATCCTTTGCAGAAGGCCTCACAGTGCTGTGTATGGGTGGGAATGCAGTTTAGAAGCCTGTCTTCTCCCCTGCTGAGAACAGCTCCCTCAGCCTTGCAAGGAAATAGGGCCTCAAGCTGAGCAGTATTTAGGATAGAAGAACTCCATGTTAAACACAAACACACAAAATGTTTAAGAGATTCACAAGTCAACTTTGTTGTTGTATCTGAGCGTTTAAGAGCCTGGATTACCCAGTTCAGTCCCTTCAATGGAAAAGACGCCTTCATCCCCTGTAGGCTTTTACCACACAAGGAAATCCTTGAGCAGCAGCAGGACCAGGACATTCCCATGTCTTCCCTCTAGGCCCAAATAGACTTTCCCTAGAAAGAAAACTACCAACCAACCACCCAAATAAGCAAAAAGGACAGCGGTCCTTGCACAGAGGACAGGTCCCTTCAGCAGAAGCAGGACTTAGTTCTTGCTGGGAGAAAGATGTTGGTAGACCCCAAACAACCTGTAATTACACATAAGGCACCTTCACCTATCGATGCTTATCCTCATCTCTCGGTTTCTTTGTGTCCCTTTCCCTGCTCCGCTCTCTATCCCTGTCTTTCCTGTCCCTGTCCCTCCTGTCTCTCCCTCTGCTCTTGTCCTCCTTGGGGTCCCTCTCACTTTCACCCCACGCCCACGAACGCTCCCTTTCTGGCCATTTCTTGTCCCTGTTCCTTTCATGGTCTCGATCTCTGCTTCTCCAGTCCCTCACTCCTTCACGAGACCAGTTTCTTTTCTCCGCTGATCCCTCTCCATACAGATCACTTTTCATGGCCGGCAAATTGATGGGCTTCCGGAAAGGCCTGTCCCGTCCTCCAAACCGCAGCTGCCCAGATTCTTTTTTGCCTCCAAATCCCCCTCCGAGCCTCCGCGGGATCCACCCTTTGAGGGTTCTTTCCAGTTCGAAGTCCACAAAGATCTCGTGCTGGTCAATGACCAGCCTGTTGGCATCTCTGTGGGCCTTGAGCAGCGCCCGCTCCTCCTTGTACTCGACGAACGCGTAACCCTTGGAAAAGCCCGTGACCAAGTCTCTCACCAGGCGGATCTTTCTGATATCTCCATACCGGGAGAAAACCTCCCTCAGCTTCTCCTCCGTGGTCTGCAGATTGAGCCTGGCTACAAAGAGGGTGAGGTGCGGGTCGCCCGTCACCCCCTTGTTGGGGACGTACCGCGCCAGCATGGCCCTCCATATGGCTCGGTCGTGCGGCTCCTCGTCGGTGCCATCGATGCTGCCAGCTTTGAGCGGGTCGTACTCCTTGGCTATGGGGGCCCAGTCGGCCATGGGCGCGGAGGGGACGGCGCTCGGCCGTTACGCGGGCCGCTCCGCCGCCTCAGGGCGGCCCCCGGGCGCCCCCTCCCCGGCACCTGGCTCCGCGTTGGCGGAGGACGATTCGCCAAGGGCCCGGCGGGACCCCACTCACTCGCTCCGCCCGCCTCGCGTCTCCGCTCGCCGCCTCGCTCCGCCGCAGCGGCCCGTGACGCCCCGCGACCCCGCGAGCCCTGCCGCGCGGCGCCGAAAGTGCCACTGCGCAACCGCGGCCGCCCTTTCCTCTCCCTCCCCGCGCCCCCCCGCGGCCCCGCCCCGCGCGGTGGCGGGAGCGGCCGTTACCGGCAGCGCCCCCTCCCCCCGGGGCGGCCGGGCCGTGTCCCCCGCCCCGGGCCGGACATGCCGCCATTTCCCCCGGCAAGGGCGGGGGCGGCGCAGGAAGGCGGCGGGCGCCGGGCCTCGGGCATGCAGCGCCGGCAGGAGGAGGAGGAGGATGACGAGGAGGAGGAGGAAGGTGGCCCGGAGAGCGCCCTGGCCAAGAGCCCCTTCCAGCTGACGGCCGCCGACGTCTACGACATCTCGCACGTGGTGGGCCGGGACCTGCTGCAGCTCGGCGGCCCCGCCGCGCCCGCCGCGCTGCCGCGCCTGCAGTTCCGCATCGTGCGCGTGCTCGAGATGCTCGAGGCGCTCGTGAGCCGCGGGCCGGGGCCGGAGCCGGAGCCGGGGGGCAGCGCGCAGCAGGTGGGTGCCCCGCGGGGCGGCGGGAAGGAGCGGCCGGGGCCCGGGGGCGCCCTGGCCGTAGGGACCGAGCCCGGCGGCCGCGCTGCAGGTGTCTGGCGCGGCAGGGAGATCACCCGGTCCTGCCCCTGCTCCAGCAGGGACACCCGGGGCACGGGCTGCAGCCGGGGCGGCTGGAAGACCTCCAGGAAAGGAGACGCCACAAATAAAACACTACCCAAAAAAACAACCCCCCACCTCCTCTCCAATGCAAAACATGGGGAAATCATAATTAACTGCTGGAAAAAAAGCCGTAACAGTTATGTAGGTATAAGCTTATGTAGGTGTGGCTTTTCCTCTAGGAATAGTCTCTACTGACAAGTCACCGGATCCTGACTTTATTTTACAGCTTGGACCTGATAAAATGGTGATAGACCTCACAGACCCGGAGCGCCCGCGGTTCACGCTGCAGGAGCTGCGCGAAGTGCTGCAGGAGCGCAACCAGCTGAAGGCGCAGCTGCTCGTGCTGCAGGAGGAGCTGCAGTGCTATAAGAGGTACAGCACAAGCCAGCAAAGAGCTAGGGAGAGCGTTTAGTCCTTGGGAACACAGCACCCAGGTTAGGCTAGGCCTTGGACTCATGAGGAGAGGTCTCTGTGCTCCCAAAAGCATAAGGAAAAGTGAAGAAAAAGGGGAGAGATGATGGAGGAGCAGTTTTCATGAGTCATTTTAAAACTACCTCATCATGTAGTTAGCCTGTTCCCATAATTGTGTCAGGGTGAGCCTACACCTAGTGTAGTCCCTGTGCAGGCTGGGTTTCGTGCCGTGCTCTCCCCTGCACACGTATTTCCTGCACTCGAGAGAAGCCCCATGGGAACCAGGGACCCGGGGATTTCCAGCTCAGCTTCAGAATCGAGGAACTTCCTCCTCCATCTCCTCCTCTGCAGCTGCATACGTGGCTGTACGCTGGTTTTCCTACTGCTCTTTTGCCCCCAGAGTGCCCTAGGCGGTGATGTAGAGAGAGTATTGAATTCTTTTCAGCATCATTCAGGATGAGAGCCGAGCGCTTTTATTTATTTTCAAGACTGCCAGCTGAAAGTTGGGTAAGGTACTTGAATTATGGGGGAAATACCTTTCAGCAGAGGATAGTTCTAGAAGAGAGCAGCCTGGGAGAATCAGTTTGATCTAAAGGATGGGATCCAGGCAGGATCTTGCTCCTGCTGCTACAAAGTACTTCATCTCCCAGGCTCTGTTCTCACCCCATCTGGTTCTACTATAAGCTTTTTTGACAAGAAATTACTGCTTACTCTAGGCACCACATTCTTGAGCACATTTGATTTCAGCTAAGATTTCTCAGCAACAACCTCTTGCATGCAGCAAGTCTGACCTTTTGCCTTGTCTGTAACATGCAGGTTAAGCCACAAAGTTCAAACTGAAGCCAAGACAACAATTTACAAAGTGCCCCTTCAGGGGGACTTCTCATAACCCAGCGAGGCACCTAATGCCCTAGCTCAGTTCACTGCCTTTGCTGCGCTGCCCTGGAATGGCTCCTTGCCTTGATTTCCAGCTGCAGTGCACAGCTAGTTACAGGCCAAGTTAAAAATTAACAACAGGAATTTTTTTTAATTGTGGGAGAATAGGTTAAGTCACCGTGCTCTTTACCTAGAGAGCAAGTCAGGGCTGTTTTTCCGTTTGAGCTATGTGGTAATTTTGTCATGCATCATTTGGAGGGTTAAACCACCCCCCTTCCCTTTAAAGGTGCACACAAAGCCTYGGTGATACTGTACAGACTGGCAGTTGTGCCAGTGAGGGAATAATATGAACGCTATGTTCTCAAATGTCTTGTGTGCATCCAAAATAAAAGATACGTAGCATAAGATAGCTGGTGTTCTCACAAATACTAAATTAGTGAAACTGATGCTTGTGGTTTACCTTTTTGCTTATCATGATTTGAGTAAAAAAACATGCAAATATTAGGAGTCTACAATAGCAGCCAAATGGTTCAGAGCTTTGTTTCTCTCAGAGGATTAATGCCTAAGTTATCCCATAAGGCCAGATAGCTCATCGATTTCTAGATATTTGCCCTATTTTTGTTTTCAAGATCCCGAACAATGTTGCCTAGCTACTTCCAGCCCTCAGCCACAGCAGTTACAAGCTTTGATCTGATCAGCCCTTGAGATAAATGAGGTCAGCTTAGGACAGTAAATTGGCACGCTGTGCAAACACAGTGCAATATGCAAGCTGGTGAAATCTAAGCCAGTCCCACACAGAGGAAGCACTTGGTGAAACTGAAACCTTTGCCTACAGTAGCAGTTGCAACCCTACAAAATACAGCAGCACCAAAACAGCCCAAGAAAATCCACCGCTCTGGCAAAGCCTTTTCTTTCTGCTCTCTAGGATGGAAAGAGGAACAGCCACCTACCTTGCACAGGGCTTGTGAATGTGCCTTCTGTTGCCAGCGGTGTCATAGGAGCCCCTGTGGCAGTGCTGAAGATCCCCACGAGCAGAACTTCACTATCTGTATTTGCACCTTGCAGATTTCTTTAGACTCTTGTACAAACCCAACATGGAATTCAAAGAACTTCAAGTGCACTCTACATTGCTCTCCTTTTGAAGGGCCCTCCTTCCTAACATTTTAAACTGTCCTTATGTAGCCCTGCTTTCTTTCTGACAGGGATGCCCTACAGACCTGTTCTATAAGCACCAGTTCACCCGTGTGACAAGCTGCCTTACGAAGGGTTTAACGTAGCCAGCAGTGCCACATTATTCCCAGACCCATGAAAAACAAATCATTCCACTTCTTTTACTAGTGGGATCATCTCACAGAGAAGGGACCAAACTGAGAAACTGGAAACAGACTCCAGCAGCAACAGCCCTGGCACCAGTAAGGAACACAAAGACCAGACCGTCGTCAAACGGCTGTAAGTGTCTCTCTCCTGGCAGAACATGGGAAAAGGGCACGTTTCGCAGTTAGCGAACGCGGGGATGAAATTCAAACTCTGGCCTAGTTGCCTAGATGCTTTTTTCCCCCCCTCCTTTTTCTCTCTGTACAATTACAATCTCATGGAGAACTTCATTCCTGAAAGAAAAAAAAAAAAATAGAGCGCTCTTCAGGAGAGCGGCCCCCACCCAGACAAGCAGGGCTTCGTTTCCTCGCCCCCAGGAAGGATCAGCATTTTGGAACAAAACTCAACGAGACTTGCCCTTCCTCTCAGCACACTAGGGCTCTGCGCTGAGCGAACATGCCAGCTGTCCCTGGAGGTTTGTTTACATTGTATGCAAGCAGCTGGAGGCAGCGCCACCAGCTCAGACCGTGTCCTTTAAGTTCCCCAGAATAGCAGAACACATCAACACGGCTGTGTCACTGCACGGTCCTCGCTCTTCCCCTTGTAAGCACCTTTTTCTTTTTTCCCCCCTCCAGGTTCTCTTTTAAAAAACATGGAAAATGAACATGAATGAGAACTTAACCACTCCTGCTCAGAAATGGCCCTGTTCAAAGCGTCTAAAGGAACTGAGAGAAGTCAAGCATTGGAGGCATCACTCTCACTGCAGAGAATAAGAAGTCTCCTAAATACTGTTTTTGTATAATATTCTTTCGGGATAGATTCTACTTTGCATTTTTAGAAATATTTTTATGTTCATATTTTTCTATTTGTTAGATTCCTGATGGACATTCCTTACATGCAGAGAATAAATCTTTATACAACTTTTCTTTTTATTCTTATTTAAAAGAGCATGTGTTCTACTACCATAATCCTGTCCCCCTGTCAAAATACTCAGCCTCAGTGAGTTCACAAGGTTAAGATGTTTTGTTTTTAAGGGATATATGCCCTTCATAAAGGGGAACACTAGAAAAAAAGAGCCCATTCCAGCCGTATACCCCAGGGATCTTATGGGGAAAGGAATTGTCTCCCTTACACTAACAGCAGTGGAGAATTTGCTAGCAACCGCACAGTAGCGAGACAACATATATATATATATAAATATATATATATGACATAGGTAAGTTTACAGTTGACGACAGCCAATGCACAGAACTGCTACAGCAAGCGCAGCATCTTCAGAATATTAGTAAGCCTTGGCCATGTGTATTTTAAAGGTAGGGAAGAGGGGGAGGGAATGTGCTTTGCTTGCTTTCACATTATCTCAGATAGAAAAATAATCGTGCAGCAGCCAGGCCACATCTGCAAGCTGAAAAATGAAATTTCACACATTCATAAACCACTCTACGTAGTGCGGAGTGGAGCGGAGGGTGAAGAATAGAGGGTGGAATCACCCAGAGACATATTCTCCAAGTTCTTTTAAATAAAGAGTGACAATTGCTTCCCCCCAAAAACATGCTAATTGCTCAATTAGACCTTAATGGAACAACTTCAATTAACAAATTGCACAAACTAAACAGAGCTATGTCAGAGAGTCAATTTTCCAAGAGGCACAAAATATACAGCTCAAAGCCACTCCTTGCAAATAACTGAAGGAGATTACAAATACTGCAATTATTTTCAGTTTACCACTTTTTTTTTTTTTTTAAATTGGCTGTTGACTCTCAGTTCTTGTTAAGTAGGTAGGAAAGCACCCAACCTTTTGGGATTATCATCATGCACAGAACTATCAAAGCTGCATCTACTACAGTGTCGAGTTTAAAACAAAAAGAAAAGGTGCAAATAGCCGGGCTGTGGCTACAAGAGAAGAGGCTGCAGCCCCCTTAGGCCAACCCTGCTGCCTCTAGCAGAGCCCTGGTGGAAGCAGTTTAGCCCTCAACTGAAGGGCAGCTTTTTTTTAGGTGCTTTACACCTTGCTAGAAGATTAATCCTTCCTATAAGGCACAGGTGTGAAAATCAAAACAGTAGGTTTATGTGAAAGATTGTTTTATATATATATATAGCAACTCCTAGAAAAGTAAAAGATATGGATTCAGTGCAACATCAGCTTTATTACCACCTTCTGATGCAGTGCCACTGCCACTTGATTACCACTTCAGCTTTTCTTAAAAAAAAGAAAAAAAAAGTCAGGAGAAAACCTCCCACAGTTTCTTTCTTGTTTACAAAAGTGATGATGAACAGAGGTTTTAAGCTATTTGACCTGATAGGGAACAAGTAAATATTTAAATAAATAACAAAGAAAGAAGCATTTCAGTTCCATTTTGACTTTAGGGGAGCACTCTGCTGGACCAGAATGCTGTACCCTACTGCAGGGTCTGTTACTGAGACCTGAGAGAAATCAGCGCCAACTCCAAGTCAGCCAAAAAGCTTACCTGGAACTGAGCACATGCACAGTTCCCCATTTCTTCCCCAAGCCTGCCTTGGGTTAAATGGTAAATAATGCTAGGTGTTTAGTGCCTAATGATTTTCACAGCTCACTTTCAAAACGCTAATGATCTGCAATGGAAACAGGTACTATAGCAGCCACTTCATCGATAATAAATATATTCTTTATTTTACAGAGACATTGTCTTCAAGTTTTTCATTTTAAAAATACATCACTAAACCACCTCTCTTGCTGCTGGAGCACACAACCAGGATGTTGCTGCTATCTGACCTATCACATAGGCAAGCATATAAGATTGTCCTATAGGGCATTTGCTGGAACAGCAGCAGCCTTCAAGACATGAGAAGCAGAAAACATTTACAGAGCCACAGACCCCATGCTGACATTTTCCAGCAGCAAGTGTGGCTGATGGCTCACAGCCATCTTCAGCTACACACGTGCCAAGCCTGCCTTGGCAAAAATTCCAACTGGTAAGAATTCATCTTTAACATAAAGGACCTCCATTGTATTGCCCGCCTATATCCCAGATTTGGTTCTCCAATAGCTCTGTTAAAAACATCTGCAAGACGCTGAGCACAGCTCCCCTTTCCGACAGTGGGACCAGATCACGCTGGACAGACCTACAGGACCAGGCAATAAGGAATCTATGTTCTTCATTGCATGAACTCCATCATTACAGTTTGAAGTTGCATATGAAGATGACTCCTGGTTTTGGAACCACTATGCTCTACTTCAAGCATTCACAGTAAATAAATAGCTTCTGATGTGGCTAATTAACATAGGGAGGTAATAATTTTTTGAGAAAGATTTTCCTTTTGCTTCTTTAAAACCCTCCAGGAGGCACCTCCGAGAATCAGCCATCACCTATAAAAAGGTACCATCTCAAACTTTAGAAAATAATGTCAAAAATTGATTCTCACTGTAATGACTAAATTTTATCTTCATGTTTCTAATCAGCATCAACCCAGTCTATCAAAATCCATCCACATTCAATTTCTCTGAAGAAGGCAGTCAGTCTGACCATCCATCTTCCCCAGTGCCAGTGCATTTGAAGCTCCATGGCCAACATGAGATAATGACTCTGGAAAAATTAGATCCCTACCACAAATTTGAGAATGATAGAAATAATAGCGTCCATCTCAGAAAAGCTTGCCAGACTGGGTTTCAAAAGCAAGTCTGACAAGTAGTCAAGCCATTGGATGTAAGATACATGAGTACAGAAGAACATCTGCTGTCATAAAGCTAACGCCAAATTCATCTCCTCACAAAGTGGAGCAGGAGTTTTCACTGCAAAAGCAGAAGTACAACCCAAGTGATTGAGTTTCAATCTGTGCAAGTCTTCGACTGCATGCCCAGGTGGCACTGGTTACTCTATGCAAAAAAGTGTTCAGGTTTTATGGAGTTTCCTTACACAATATAAAAATTCTGGCAATCTAAGATCAATTATTCAAGCCTGCCTGGAAACCTGCAATAGGTACTTAAATACTGCAAAGCAAAAATACAGTTTTAAGGAGCTCAAAACACCAAAAGCAGTCCACTAAGCTGAGGGAGGTGAGGACAGGAGAAATAAATCCAACGACTCTTTAGAGCACTCAGTCAAAACAAAAAAGAGGAGTTAGTGTTTCAGCCATGGATGAGCTTCAATGGAAGCTTTGCTCCTGTCTCCATAATCGTACAACAGTTCTTCACCTGCTTTAATGTCTCGGGAAGCTATCAGTATGAGATGAGGTACACCATCGATGTCGTGAAGCTTTGTTTGACAATTGCCACATTTGCTGTGATTAATCAGTCTTCCCAGGCGATTAGTTTCTTTTGTAGCATCGACACTGCAAGAACAAGACAGATACCACGCACAAGTCACATTTGTAGACAAAACACAAAGCACCAATCAGGTGAAAAATTGGAACTTCATGAAAGGTTTAAAAACACGAAGGAAAGAACATTATAGAATATTCATATGCCCAAACAGACAGCATGCACGATGGTGATAAGGTTAAAAACTAAAACCATGCTGGACATTTAGTGGTTATAGCACACAACCCAGGAAACTGTGGTCTTGAAACCAAGCAGCTCTTGACTCTTTATGAGGATCCGCAAATCCAGATATAGGACAAACACCAGAAGGGCTCAAACACCTTAAATACCCTCCCTCAAAAACTGCATCTCAAGTACGCTATCCACTGCATAAGCAAGCAAAAGAATGCAGAACTGGGAGAAGAGCCTCTGCTCCCACACAAGGCTGAGTAAAAAGAACTGGAGAATACCAAAAAAGAAGTGGAGCTTTGGCAAGCTAAGCAACAAGCAGAGTGGAGGAGGGCGACACAGCCTAAGAAAGGTCAAGTATCTATTACATTTCAAAGTACCTGTTTACAACACCTTTCAAACAGATACAAGGCATTAAGGAGTGGCTCAGCTAAGATTTGTATTGTGATTTGTAGTCCTCATTTAGAAAATGAATATTTTTCAAGAAAACAAAAACTCAGCAGCATGCAAAGATACAATCATTCAGTTATCATAAGCTTTAAAAGTTAAGGCTGGAACAGCTTACCAGTATGTTTTGCTGAGGTACTGAAAATAGTACATATAGCAGCCTGTGGATGGGTCTTGAGCATACACAGCTTCTCGCTTTTTAGCATCAGTGATCTCTATGAGATCCCCATGATATTCAACTACAAATTCTCCTCGATTAAAATGTTTAGTAGCGATTACCCCTCTCCCTTTGCCATCAATGTAATCAATCTGTTGAGATGAAAAGAAAATCAGTTGGAAAAGGGAAAAGTATTTACATGATTGCAAATATGCCATTAACTGAGGAATTGCTATGTGTCAGATTCATTATTAAACAAAAGCACATCACAGTGTGATATTTAAATGTGTTGCTGATAAAGCTGTAGCAACACAATGCAAATCAGGTATCTTGATACAAAGTTCTTTTGATACAAAGTTTTCTAGTCAAAGAATTACATCAAAACCATACAAGCAAAAGAGTTATTAAATATTTTAAAACTAGCAGACATCCATTAGCTGAGGAAGTCATTTCTTTTCATTTCAGGAGCACCATCACCATTAGTACGTTCGGAACAAAAAGTTAGAGGTTAACCAGAAAGCTGGGCCACTTTTCCCCTTGGAGATCCCATCACTGTCCTAGGAGCAACTTTATAACTAGAGGCTGCCACGTTTCAACAAATTGCAGCCTTTTGCTGTCGTAAGATCCATTTCTGGTTTAATTTCTAAAAGGGGTAGTCAGAGGCTCCCAAAAAATAAGTAGTTGGTCCCAACAACTAGTGTTTACTAACAGCAGGAGGAGAATCAGTCCACCCTACCTAGGCAGGGCACTAACAAAGAATCTATAGAGACTGGCTGTAAACACTCTAGTAGAATTAGTTACAATGCAGAGTGACTGGGCATAGTATATATGCACGTGCATGTACCATATGTTTCCATAGATACACAGGCCAAACAAGGCTTCTACATCTAACAGTATTTTCAGAGACTAACCAAGACAATAGATACTAAAAGGAATAAGCACATTTTCTGTGGTATAAAGACTAAAGTATCTATTGGAGCAGATATGTTTGTCAGAATGAAAGAGGAAAGTGGAAATCCACTGTTCAAAAGGGAAAGAAAACATCTTCCAGTTTTGCTGCACTTTCATCTTAGTAACAATGAACTGAAGCAGTTGCAAGACCGAGTGTTTCTACTTTCTGTTTAAACAGATTAACAGCAAGAGATTGTGTAAACATTATAAGGCTGCTTAGGTCAGTACTGCAGTTACCTTCATTCCTTCTTCTTTCCCACTTGTGATTAGTTCATCTATTTTCCTCCTCTCCTCAGTCTACAGGGGAAACAAGATAAGAGTAAAATCACAGTACTGCTGGGGGGTTATTTCATAGCTAATTATTAGCTGATTATCTGTTGTCACTCATTTTTCCAAACAACCATTTTTTCCCTAGCAAAACTGAATGGCAGAGACACAGATCTCTTCCTAGAGATATGTAAGTAGCTAGATTCCAACCCAAAAGAACTGGATGTTAGTTCTGATATTTTAAGAAAGTTATCTTAACAATATTTCTAGGGCATATTTGCTTTTTGCTGGTGTAAACGGTTAATAGATAGAAACACACTTTCCTCAAGCATTCCACCGATCGGCCACATGGTACATTATGCAATTTTAACAAGCAGCACTACCTGCAATTCAGATTTGCTCTTCCTGGAGCTTCTTCTAACTGGATAATAATCTGTCACTTTTCGATTTTGTGTTCTTCCTTGTGCTCTAAGGGATAAGAAAAATAAGAAATATGCATACCTCAGGGTATTTCTGAAATTACACCTCTATCCTTGAGATATTTGCAAGAAATTTTCAACTTAGTATGTTGAAAGTTGACCAGTATGAATCAGCATCTTATCAGTATTCTTCCTTCCAAGCCAAAAGCTATAACCCGTTTTCCTCACCCTGCTCTTTCCATTGTTACAGAACTAATCCTTTAACAACAACAATAAGGTGCCGTGGGAAGCGCATTGAAGGTTACATTTTGAGCCTGATGTCCTGTGTGCCTTTCCAGGAGGCTCTCAAAAGTTATATCAGGAAACCTTCTCGACAAATTATTCTGTAATATTAAGTTATGTTACTCTAATCTTATAAGAAAAAGAATGAGTTCAAAACCAGGAAGCTACCAGCTGTGATTAAATTAATATCCTGTTTCTGACAAGACACATTCCAATTTGTCCAAATAAAAACAGACCTTACAACCTCATTAATGTCATTTTACATAAGAAAGCAGCAAGCATCTCATTTGAGGTAAAGCACACTAACCTTGCTTACAAAAAAAGAAAAAAAAAGTCCTCTGCAAGGTATATACTTCAGGTGTTATTTTGTATTTTCATACATACTAGTCTTGGGGAAAAATAATAAAGAAGTCTTCAAGAATCTCTTTCCCCCATCAGCATCCTTTGTTTTAAAAAAGGGCAACAGAACAAGGATTAACATAATTACATTAATTCCTACAGCCCATGAGGGCAAATCACAGATCAAGGTCTCCTGCTACAAGACAGCACAAGCAGAGAAACTTGTTCAGAAACTGTAAGTTCCTGAATTTACTTACTTTCTCCTTGGTCCACGTTTTGCTTTAACCATCTTTTTTTGGGCTGGCTTTGCATTGGCCTCATCAGCACACTCTGAAGGCAGAGCCGTATTTCGAGTTTCTGCAGTTTCTTGCTTTTGATGAGAAGAAGGTGCTGAAGAATTGCGCCCACTTGCTTTATCTTTCTGGTCTTCTGGTTTCATAGCACCTTCAATTATTTTGCCACCTTTCTTTTTTTCTGGTGACAGGAAAATAAAGTAAGGCTCTGAACTTACGATCATCTATATCAGAGTGCTTTAAATGAATTCCAGTGGTTTCTAGTCCAAGTTTCTAGTTCTGTCAAACAGGAGAAAGAGAATGATGCAATTTCTTTCTACTAGAACCCAAATAGGCTGTTATTGGACTTTTGACTAGCTATTTCTACAATGCACTAAGTGATAGAAGAAGAGTGAGCAAAGAAAAGGAAGTACTTGAGTTCTGCTGCCGTCTTTTATTAAATTAGGTTTGCTATTAAATTTTCCCAAATCTGAACATGGGACCACAGCCTGCTGCTAAGGGCACTTGGCCCATTACATTATCCAGTTGCCAAAATGAATCAACATTCAGCACTGACGGAGACTGCAAGACAGTTTCAATCCTACATTGCTAGGGTCAGTAGCTGCAGATGTTCTTGCAAGCAGCTCATATCACACAGAGGGGAAAAAAATATTCACATGAGAAGAGAGGCAAGCACTAGCAAGAAACAGAAGATCTATCCTACATGCCACGCTTGCTCGGTTAGATGCATCCTACCTTGACCTCACCGCATCCTCCTTCTGAGCTAACAGATTTAGAGGTAGATGAGCATGGCTTAAAGCTAAATAAAATTGCTATTTAAAGCAAGATACTAGGTTTAACAGTCCCATGTCCCAAAAGAAATAGAAATGTTTCAGTATTGCTAAAGGGATAAAGCACAGCTGCACCGTGTAACTGACTAAAGTCATCTTCACTTTATCGTCAAAATGAGGGGTGCAAAAGTTGTCAAGTTACCCCAAAATCTGGCACTCACAATGCTGAGGGGAAATTAAAATATCTGCACACCAGAAGTGTTTTGCATGAAGATTAGAAACAAACAAAAATAAATAAAAATAAAATAAGAAGAGGAAAACTGCTTGGCAAACCCATGACATGAATTTGAAGAGGATGAGACCCTCAATCTTTGTGGAGTCCCAGTTTGCCAACAGAGCAGGGGGACTGGAAAGCAAGTGGCTGGAGGGAGCTCTCTGGCCTCTTTAGCTGCCTTCTCAAGTTTGCAAACTGAAGGAACAAAGCACATTTCACGAGACAAGCAAACAGTGCAAAGATCAATCTTACCATCTCCTTTTCTGTAGGATTGGTTTAGTGTTTTGCCCTGACATTTCACCTCGTGATACATGACAGAGTTCTCCTCTTGAAGTGGGGGACGAGCACCAGAAGATTTGTTAGGATTCAGGTAGCTGTAGATTTTGGATTGACCAATAAACACATTCTCCTAGAACAGAGAGGGAGAAGAATCAGTACCTTGTGGAGACTCCAGGAACCTCAAGCTGGTATCTACAGCGTGCTTCAAAGGCCAGGAGTTAGAGCTAACTGTTCCAATGCAAAACATTGTGCTTTAATGCATCATCCTTGTTACTCTTGCTATTTTTGCTAAATGAAAACATAACTGTGGTAACTGCTCAAGAAGAACTTACTAATGCAAGCTCTCAGTCCAAAAGAATTTTCATATGAAATGTGGCAGGATGGGATAACTATAATTAACTCCAGCTTTCATCCTGTGCTTCAGAATATGAATTCTGGTGCTAAAAAATAACAATAAAAAAAAAATCCAAGTTCCTAAGGAAGAAGGAAGCTGCAAAGAGTACATACATACAAAAAAAAAAAAACCCAACCCGATAATAAAGCAGAAGTACCCAAGCAGAAAATATACCTTTCAGTGTAAAAGGTATGAGCTTACCCAAATACATTCTCGAGATATCAAATGTTACCGTGAAATAATTATATGCTTTATGGGGCAATACACAGACCAGGAATCAGCTGGACACGCTCTGCTCTGAATGACATTTCATTTTGGCAACACGAATGAGGGATGCCTAGGAGATAAACAAGGCTCTCCGTTTGCCCATTATACCTCCCCAATAAAAACGGAAAAGTTGCTTTTGATTGAAAAAAAACCCAGCACAGTCCAGACAAAAAGTGTCAGTGAGGAAAAGTGCAAAATCCTCTGGCCTGGTCGAGTAACCGCAGAGCCCTGGGCCTGCGGGGCCTGTGGACAGTATCGGATGGAACGAGGCTCAGGGCATTGGGCCGCCTTTGCTTTCACTGTCCCCTGCCACCTCTCAGGCCCTAGCAGGGCACCCAGGGCTCTCAACAGTTCAGCCTCAGAGTCTGGACAAACGGATGCAATTTGGTCAGGAACAGTTTTTCTTGGCTACATTTGGAGTCAGCTAAAAGTAGTATTCAGACATTACAATCCAGTTAAAACAACAAAAGCATGCAAACCATTTTTCTTTCTCTTCCCCCCTCCCCTTATTTTTTTTTTCTTAAGGCACACAAAGGGTCCTATAGGTTAGGAAAACTAGCAAACCCTACAGAGGGACTTGACTAATCAAACAGCCCAGCCTATACAGTCATAGAGACACTAAAAGAGCAAACGAAGTGCAACAACAGAATGCATAGAATAATTTTAATAATTAATGTAATTGTGAAAGCAATACACTTAACATTACGTAATTAACACACAAAATAACAGCAGGCAAAGGCTCAAACCTTAGTCTATGAGAAAACTCTAGCAAAGACTAAAGTAAAACCCTCTGAGAGGCAGCTAGTCAATTTGACGCAGGCACACACAGTACTTGACAGGCCTGGTAAAGGCAATAGCCGATTATAATAAGGTAGTTGGGGGGGAGGGATGCCCTATTTTAGTAATTTTATTGAAGCGGAAGCAGTTAACTGTGTGTCAACCGAGCACTGCAAAGCGCTGGGGACAACGCCAGCGGTTTGACCGGGGTCATTTCCAGGGGACGCGGGAGCAGCGCGGGCAGCAGGGCGCCCCGGCTGGGAGCCCCGCGCGCCCCGGAGCCCGCGGCTCCCTCCCCGCCGCCCGCCGCGGCCGCCGCGTCTTTGTCTGTGCCCGGCTCCGGGACAGGCTCTTCCCCGCCGGGCTCGCAGCGGGATCCGGCGCGAGGGCGGCACCTTCCCGCGGCACCAGGGAGCTTCGGAGCCCCCCATCCCCCGCGCCAACGGCAGGAGCGAGCGCGGGCCCCGGGGAGCCGCCCGCCCCGCCCGGTGCGGCGCTTACCCCGCCGGCCCGGGGGCGGCCCGGGCCCTTCCTGTCGGCGCTCTCGGGGCTCGCGTGCTCCGCGCCGGCCTTGGGCATGTTCTTGCCTAGGAGCAGGGAGGGAAGGGCGGCGCCTGAGCCATGTCCCGCGCGGGCGGCCGCGCTCACAGCCCGCCCGCCGCGGCCTGCGCCATGTTTAAAGGACTCGATGCGGCAGGGCGAGCCGCCGCGGCCCAGCCCCTTCCCGGCGCGGGGG